GGGGGGGGGGCGGGGACCTAGGGTAAAACAGTAAGAGAAAGAGCAAGAACTATAGAATAATTACAATATAGTATAATAAAATAAAATCTATACATAAAAACTATGTATTTTGTATTTTACATGAATACATGCAAATTTAATTAGAGTGACTACCCATGGGACAGGGAAATGAGAGTTCAGAATGGGATGAAAAGGAATGAATAAATCCACCCATCCATATAGGTAGGTAAGAGACATGGTCATGTGCCATACCAGGCATTGGAAGTATATCAGTGATGTGCTGGAACCAGCTCCTATCAACTTTAAGAGCCAGTTGTACACATATCTTTCCAACTCTGCTTAATTACATTGGTGGCTTAAACTCAGCTATGGTAGGAGCTCTGGTAGCATAGTGCCTAAGGCACTTGACTGCTAACCAGAAGGCTTGCGGTTCAAACCCACCAGCCATTCCTCAGAAGGAAGATGGGGCAATCTACTTCCATAGTGATACTGTCTCGGAAACCCAAGGAGGGGTCGCTATGAGTCGGGTCCGACTTGACGGCACATGACAACAACATGGTAGGAGTATAACTCAAGGCCTTTTTTTTTTTTTTTCAGAAACTGTTTTCAATTTACCAGCACAACACTTTCTCAAAGCCTATACTTTTCCTTCCTTATCAGTGATTCTCCATCATAAGAAGGAGTTAGTAGAAACTGACATGGGTAGCTTGAAAATTTTTGCCAGGTGATTATGATACAATGATCCCTACCTAGCCACCACCTGAAAACCACTGCTCTATTCCAAGCTGCCTTTCAATTAGTCGATGTCAATTTGGCAAATCAGAGGCCTTAAAATTTTTAAACCTCTCTGACCTAGTCATTCCAATTATGGAATTTGTCCTAAAAAAAAAAAAAAAAAAATCGTCACCTGGGGTTCTTGTTAGACTACAAATTCTAATTCAGAAGGACTAGGGTAATGCCCAGGAGCTCTGATGGCATAGGGCCTAAGGCACTTGACTGCTAACCAGAAGGGTGGCGGTTCAAACCCACCAGCCACTCCTTGGAAGGAAGGTTGGGCAATCTACTTCTGCAGTGATACTGCCTCGGAAACCCAAGGAGGGGTCGCTATGAGTCAGAGATGACTCAATGGCACTAACAACAACAGGGTAATGCCCAGGATTCTGCATTTCTAATAGAAATAATGTTGATGCTGCTGGTTGGCAAATTACTTTTTGAATAGCAAAGGTAGGTATAGAGAATACAATCATATCTACGTAAGAAATGCAAGGAAAATCTGGCCAAGAGAAAAAAATTGCACCAAAGCATTAATGATACTGAGTTGGAACTATGGCTGAGGGATTTTAAAAATATATTTTACTAGAGTTTCTAATGTTTCTATATTAAGACTGTATGGTTACAAAAAATGACATTAAAAATAATCTGCTTTAATTTTCTTATAAACAGTATTGAAAATTGAATAGGCAAGAACTCGTTTGCTTGGTCAAAAGCCAAGACTCATTATTTGTTCCTCCTTTCTTGACTACACCTTGAACATATGTTTGTGGGATTTTTGTTTTGTTTTTTCAAATGCTTTTACATTTTCAAGTAAAGCAGAAAAATTAATCCACTTTTTCCTTTCCTTCCATTTCAGTCTTCACCCAGGACCCCATCGTCTACCATCTACCAGCTCCAGTCAGGTAGAGGTCAGGATAAGATTGGCCAAAGCTCTTTATTACTTGCGGCCATTCCTTGCATCCTTTAATAATACAGCTCCCTAATATTAGACAGCAGCCCCCTGTTTCAGAGGCATAATTTGATTCATTATTTTAATTAAAAGTAACTATTATTCGTCATTTGAACAAACAAGAGAAACTTTTGTTTGCAAGTTATAGTAAGCAACAGCCAAGAGAGTTGGGACGAGTCTGAGTGAGGCTCATTATACTAATTCTCTGGAGATTCCAAGCCCATCAACCTAGACAGAAGAGCAGATCCCTTAAGAAAACAAGGCTGTAACCCACATCTTTCAGTTCTGATGTCACCTCCTCCAAAATGAGTGTTTATTCCAGACGTAGCTCACCTACTGTCCCCTATAGCTTCACAGCTCACAGAAGAAACATTACTTCAGAGACTAGACCTACCTGAGGATGAAATAAAAGTCTTTATCAGTCCGAATTACCCCATTAGTCCAAGAGAAGGATGAAGGCTTGCTTCAAATGACTACTGTATTTTCCAAGACTTTTTACCAGGATGAACTTGCTAAAAATGGAATACTTCAAAGCATTCTGAACTTGTCAGACCTTCTGAATGATGAAATTCCAAGGAAACCATTTGCTTACTCTGGGTAACCCATGGAATGTAGCTACTCATTCAGGAAACTTTGGAAAAAGATGGGTGTTCTTAGAGAATATTATCAAATTCATGAGAGATTAAGATCTCATACCAACAGTGTAAGACCTGCATTTGGGGCCAATATTGCAACTCCAAGAAATATCCATGAGAAGCTGGTATCTTCTGCAATATTGTGAGTAGCATATTTGGTATGGCCTGATTAGGACTTCTTCAGAGGACTGCTAGACCCCCCACCCCGGGACCTTTAGGGTAATCTCCACTTCTAGCACCTCAGGGGATGGCAGAGCAGCAGTGGTTTCCTCAAGCCCTCCTCCTACTTGGCACTTGTTTTTTATATTCTTTTATAAGATCTGGCATATCACGGACAGGCACTGGAACTCATATGTAGCTTCAGCCCCACTATCCAGGCCAATGCTGTAACACTGTTGTTGTTGTTGTTATATGCCATCAAGTATAGCTACCCCTCCTTGGGTTTCCAAGGCAGTATCACTACGGAAGTAGATTGCCTCATCTTCCTTCCAAGGAGTGGCTGGTGGGTTTGAAACGCCAGCCTTCTGGTTAACAGTCAAGTGCCTTAGGCACTAAGCTACCAGAGCTCCCATGCTGTAACACAGCAGGAGCTAAATTAATGTTATTCAGTCAGAGCCATTAAGTTACTCACTAGCAGTGAGGAACTTAGCCTGGCCTGATACACATGATGTTGGCCTACCCTGTGTTTTGTGTAACTGTCCCTTTGGAAAATCCAATCTCTGGACAATGTTGAATCTGGGTGAATTTCTCAATGCTTTTCATTGGAGGGGAAAGATCTTATCTTCTCTCTACAGGTACTAGACCCGTCCAGAAGAACATGCAGTGCCAGCCCTAGAAGGACAAGCCTACACGGCATCCACAGAGACTCTCCCATCGGAGTCTGCATGATTGACCTTTAAAATAATGAATAGTCTGAAGCGGATGGCTACAGCCATGTCCAGGCTCTCAGGTTGCTGAGCAAGTCTCCTCTTTTGCTCACCAAGCATGTAGTATAAAGGGGAGCTATGCCTGGGATTTATGAAGTGTCCATTTCCCTTTGTATCTGGAAGCACAAGTGGGTGGCTTCCTGTTTGAAATAGGAAACAAAAAAACAGAAGTTCATCAATGGCACTATGTTCTATATCCTTGCACTCATCACAATGTCTTTCTATGGTTTATCTGTGCTCAACTCTTGATCCACTACGATCCCTGGACTTTTCCCTCCCCTCCCACTCAACCCCAGTTATTCCTTATCTTACTCTTTATTCCTATTTGCCTCTGACCTTCACCTAAATAATCCTCCTACTATTAGTTCCTTATAATGTTTCTGGGAATTACATTCATTATGAATTATGCTTGTAATTGCTCTGGAAAGAGCTGGATAACTTTCTCAGCCATCTGGGCTCACCCTGGACCCAAATGATTAGGCTGCAGAGACCACTTTTTCAGATTGCTTATGAATCAGATGATGTAGAGTCTAGAAATAACTCCTGAAGAATAGCTGTAGTGTATCTTCAGAGGCTGAGCAACTATTTGTGTTCTTTAATAATTGTCAACAAATGCTAGATAGAATAGTAGTTTGTGGAATGATTTTGAGTATGGTAACCTGTGCTAAAAAGAAGGCAAAATTATTTTAAAAAAAAAAAGGAAAAGTTTGTAAAGTTCACCATTTCATTCTCTCCACTGAGGCCACTTTCATCCTCCTGATGCCCCACTACCCCTAGCACCTTCTCTTCCAAGGTATTTAAAATGAGTCCCAATCTTATTCTCCAGACTCTGGCAAATAATTCTTGCCATAGATTTGCCAGATAAATTAAGTAGTAGTTGATAATGCTTAAGGAAGGATACTTCCAGGGATGCTGACTTTTGAAAAGATACTTTATTTTATTTTGTTTGCTTTTTGTTTTGTTTTGTTTTTCTGGTGGAAGTCCTCTAACACACCTAACCAGAACTCTGTCTACTTAGTAGCTCCAACTCTAGGCCACCTCCACTATGGAAAGCCTCCCTCCAGAAAGTGATTGCAGGAAGACACTTCCATCTCTTTATGAGGGAAAACAAAATCTCTTCAAACAAGCCAACTTAAGATGACTTAGCATACTGATTCTGCAAGGTTGTTGGTGTCTAGGAAATACTACATAGGTAGCATGTCCTCAGCCCCTCATGTATAAAAAACAAAAAAACCAAAGTCACTGCTGCCGAGTTGGTCCTGACTCATAGTGACCCCTCCTTGGGTTTCTGAGGCAGTATCTCTACGGAAGTAGATTGCCCAGTTTTCCTTCTGAAGAGTGGCTGGTGGGTTTGAACCACCAGCCTTCTGGTTAGCAGTCAAATGCCTACGCACTGCCCCACCAGAGCTCCTATCTTATGTGTAAATACCCACCAAATATCTCTCTCATTTGAGGTGTTATTCATTCCTTCAGTGTTTATTAAAGCTTATTATCTCAAGAAATTTACTCTAAGATTAATAAATTTTTGACTCAATGAGCAACAAATTAAAAACAACAAATATTAAAAATATAGTCAAAATAAAATATAAAATTATAGGAGATACAAATGAAAGATTCATGCAGAAGAGAAGATTTTCATGGAGGAAATGCATTTTTTGAAGAGAGTTTTGTTTTGTTTTGTTTTTTAATTTTTACTGTGATTTGGATGAATATTAAGAGTTTTAAAAGATATCTGGGACATGAAAGACTGATAATTCCAGAAAAGATACCATGTGCAAAAGCATATTATTGTTGTTGTTATGTGCCATCAAGTTGGACCCAACTCATAGCGACCCCTTCTTGGGTTTCTGAGGCAGTATCACTATGGAAGTAGATTGCCCCATCTTCCTTCTGAGGAGTGGCTGGTGGGTTTGAAC